GACTCACAGAATGGTCAAGTCACAAACTGTGCCAATAGCAAAACTGGGAATAGCATCCAGCAGCCCCAATTCCCAGGCTCTTGTTATTGCTATTAGACAACAATGCCCCTTTACAGGCTGAACTGTGACAGCCTGGAAGAGGAGGAGGGGGCATGTTGCTGCAGTTGTTTATTAAAAGTCCTCACAAAACCTACAACCAAATTTCTATTTTTTTTATTTCAGTGAAAACTTTGCCAACCCCAACCATTCAAGCTTCTAGTTAGGCTCCAAAGAAATCATGAGACTGTCTTAGGATAAATACTAGAGGAAGCTGGTTTTATTTGCCTTTAAGGCTTCACATTTTCAAGGCTCTAGATCCTATAGGGTTATTTTTTTTTTTTTTTTTTTTTTTAGATAAAAGATCCCACTTGGACATAATGGCATGACTCCAGGAATTCTCATTTTAAGGGGGAAAAAAACCCTCCAAATACTATAAAACTCACAATAAAATCAGTAGAATTGGCAATACTGTAACTCATACATAGCAGCGCCAAAACTGTAAATTTTCGTTGTTAAAGGGTGAGAGAAATACTGGAAACAAGAATTTCAATGGCAAATTTGATTTCTTACATTCTTTTAGTATGACCATGAAACAGGTCATAAACCAGATAGATAAATGCATGATTACAGAATAAATTTCCAGTTCCACTTTTAACTGAAAAAAAGTTTCATTATTTCCCACTGCAAAACCAAAACATACCAGTAGTCTATTTTTTTCCACATTTTTGAGCTCTTCTAAACTACAAAAAATGTTTTTTTTTCAAACCAATGACACTGTGCAAGTCATTCATTACTAAAGTGAAACTTAGAGCATCTCTTACATAAGAGATAGACACTATTTACATAAAATGAGAAGAGAGCTGGCAAAATAACTCTCTTTTTCATAACCCTTTTTAATACGCATTGTATTTATCATCGTAACAGCTCCAAAGAACACAGTGTACGGTACACACTGTGCTTTGCTATGAACTCGAAGCCTGAAGTGGTAGCTTTTTTTCTTGAAGGTGAACTAAGTTACAAAATGAAATATATTTTTCCTCTAGCTGTCTAAGAAGATAAATGATCTCAGTAATAGTAAATAACGCTAGGAAATGGGAACTAAAGGACACATTTAACAGCAAGAACATCTCACCAACAAAAATGTAGAGGCGGCAATTTCCACCTCCACCCAAGTTTATTCAGTCCGCAGAGGCATCAGCATTACTACCATGCTGCATTGCTACCCTCCTTTCGCTCTGCTTAAATCTATAATAAATCAGTTCCTCTGTTAATAATGCAATTTAAGGTACATTTGGCGTTATTCATTTTCAGAGATGAAAGAAGACATCTACTGCTACGGAGCAAACACATGATGCTGTTTAGGTGACTAAAGATACCCGAGGGCGTAATCTGTATTTATGTAATAACATAATTTGTAATAAAGCCACCTATTGCCTCCACAAAATCTCAGCTCTCTACACAACACTGACATCTGCCATGCCAATCCTCAAATCAATTCACTGACTCATTTCTGAACAGTTCAAAATCGTCTGTCTGTCTTATTATAATAAGTCCCCGAGCCACCTTTTACTGACTTGGTTTTTACAGCGAGGCAACCCCGCTCACTTCAAGGGACTAACATGTCATTCACAATAATATAAGGGAATTACAGCTCAGCCATGCAATATCCCATATACTGCCCTTGATACAATTACCTTGTGGGACTGAACCCTATGTTTATGAACTTGGTCCATATCCTGAATCTTATCTAGCTCTTAATTAAGAACTAAGCAGTGTCACACTGGGCCACACCAATGGCCCATCTAGCCCTGGCGTCTGTCTCCGACAGGAGCAGAAACGATGCTAAAATAGGAGAGTACCGAACTGGATAGCTCTATGGCCCCTACCACACGATACATATATGACGCAATACACTGGTGAACCGCACAATACAGTTAGACCTGTGACACTGCAACGTGATTATCATGCAATAAACTGGCTTAATCATGCAATCCATTTAGACCAGCCACACATGCAGAGATAAGATGGCCGGGCCACATGTGTGAAGTAATTAGCACACAATTAACTGGTGAATCCTGCAATAAATGTAGCCCAGCCACTTGTGCAAAGCAATTGTCATACAATGAACTGGTTAACTGTGCCATACCTTTAGACTGGCCACTTGTGCAAAGCAATTATCGAAGAATTAATTGATGATCTGTGCAATAAATTAAGGTCTACCACCTGTACAAAGACCGGCCACACATGCGAAGTAATCATCACACAATTAACTGGTGAATCAAGTAACAAATTTAGACTGGCCATGGGTGCAAAGCAATAATCACGCAATGAACTGGGTTAACTGTGCAATAAATTTAGACGGGCCACACCTGCAAAGTAAGACCGGCCACACATGCAAGTGATTATCAGGCAATTAATTGGCTTAATAATGCAATAAATTTAGAGCAGCCACACCTGCAAAGCAATTATCAAACAATTAACTGGCAAAGCCCAATAAATTTAAAAGGCCACACCTGCAAAGTAACTATCACGCTCTAAAAATACCTGTCCAGCCGTAAAAAAAAAGCCAACCAGCTAGAAAACCAACGCATGGAAACGTGCAACCACTCCAGAGCGGGTCTCTTCCCCGTTTTCACTTGCGTGTGGGGCAGGGCCCTCCCGTCTCACCTCCCCAGTCTCTCCGGCGTTACGACCGTGCCCCCCGCTTCGGCTCCGGAGCAGCACGCCTGCACCCCTCCATCCAGCCCGGTGATTTTTCAACCTTGTTTCGTTTGCAGACCCCATTGGAAATGTTAAACGGAGGTGCGGACCCCACCGAAAAGTTCAAATAAAGGTGCTTTGAGCTGCAAGCACAGGTCTGCACGTACTAATGACTGATCATCGCCATCTTTCCCGGTCCCCTCAGACCCAGCTGGCGGACCTGCACGGGTCCACGGACCCAGCGTCGCCAGCACTCATGACTTTTGGGGTTGTTTTTAAAAGTCTATGTTTCAGCAATGTGAAAAACATTATATATATACATATAAAAAAAAAATTGATGATTTGCGCAATCTTCCTTGAACTTCGGGAACGCGAAAACCGTAGCTCGGACATACAAGAGCTACGGTTTTCACGCTCCCGAAGCACAGACTTGAAGAACCAACCCCGAAATCACGAGCGCCGGCCCCGCGGCGGACCGCAGGTTGCCAACCCTGCCTCCCACCCCACCCCGAGGGCCCAGCGGGCGCACGGCAGTGCCCCGAGACGTGTTTTTTTGCAGATTACGTCTCTTTTTTTGCATGGATTATGTCTTTTTGGCAAGGTGGGGGAGAAAAACGTGGCTTTACAGGGCTGGAACACGGGCAGAGAGGCTGCCCCCAAATCCTCAAGGGTTGGGATGGATAAAAATATGC